TCATGAATAAAATCTAGTACATAAAACCCCGCAGCACGGGTACAAATGCACGAAATTAAAACCCCTAGCAAGGGTACATTATAATAAACATCCTAAGATAAATCCCGAAGCACGGGTACAAAAAAAAATAGGACAACCAACTCCGCGACACAAATCACTCTTCGAGATCTCTGATCTCCCCGTACTCGGCTTCAGCACGGTCCCCTTCCTTCGATCCAGCACGACCTTCGTCATCTCCCCTTTCCCCGATCACATCGGAAGCGCCACCAAGACCAGGACTAGCATCCTGTCCGGTGGACGCCTCGACGAGCGCCAGACTTGAGTTAAACTCACGCTGAACGCCTTCCAAAATGGGTACGTCTTTAAGCTGCTCGATAACCTCCGGAGTTAGCCTTCCTCTGTTCGATCCATGCTCATCTCCGAGAAGAACAACCGAAGGATGATCCCTCGGAAACACCAACGCTTGGTCGGGCACTTCGAAATATTCCTCCGTAAGCTCAATCTCGTCATATAGCTCGGCCTCCACCTTCAATCCTTTAAGGTCGGATTCTATCTTCTCAATCACCGATGGCGGACATCTAAAACCGTTCCGTTCAAAAATCTTGATAGCATCAAGTTGTCCTTCCAGCTGAGCGCGGGAAGTCACGTTCGTGTCTATCTCCTCGCGTTGGCCTATGTATGCCTGCGTCTTCCTGATAAGCTTGACATAATGGGAAGACACCGATGTTCGGACGTGAGACGCCCAGTCATCCCGGGTTTTGATAAGGAGCTCCCTCTCAGCCTCGAACTTCCTCAAGACCGAAGCCAACTCGGCAGTAAGGGACTGGATGCTTTCATCCTTGGATTTTAGAAGAATATCGCAGGTGTCGACCTTGGCCTTCATCACGGCTTGCTCTCCTTCCTTAGCCTCGACAGCGGCTTCTAGCTTCTTCACTTTTTCAAAGCTCTTTTCAAAGCACGGTCGTACCTCTCGACCGCCGCAGTAGAGAGATTCTCGGCTTGAAACAGAACGGTAACAACTGTCAGCACAAAAAACTATGGAAGCCCGGGTATGAGAAAAGGAATAACGTACCCTGGTTTGTGCTGAAGCCATTCGGACAAAGTCGTCCTTATAAAACAGCTCATCCATCTTACAAGACGGGAGGGGCAGACCCTTCATTTCCCACGCAAGGCGGACACTAGACATTTCATCCATATGGATTGGCCCCTTGCCCCGGTACTCAAGTTGAAGGCGTACTTGCTCGGGCAAGAATTAGCCCTTTGCCTCTTGGCAGTCGGTTCAACGACGGGCTCCGTAGCAACCGGTTCGGGGAGCACGGTATCCTTATCCGCTGTCCTAGTCTCGGGGTCCTCGGCATTAGTCGGATTAACATCCAGGCCGACCTTAGCGCGGGACACCTCTTCAACACGGGTCGCATCTTTAGCAGCCTTCGCCTTTTTCTTCTCGACTCTCTTCCGCTTCAGAGTATTCGTGGCAGTGGCCACACCTTGAACGTCGCCCCCGGCGTGAGGGATGGTATCAACACCGCTCTGAACCTCAGCTCCTGAGTCCGGGACCCCTGCCGGAAGAGCATTAGCCCGGATCGAGTCGACCACAGGATTGTTCGCTTCCGAGGCAAGGGTTTCACCCGACCTCTGCTCAACATCTTTCCCACTCGCAGCCAGCAGGGACTCCTCGAGTTCTTTGGCAAAGTCCCTCGTCTTCCTTGGCTTAATCGGCATTTTCTTCTTTTGACTTTCGACGAAGATGACCTGACAGCAGATTCGTTAGCCCAGGAACATTCCTTAAGAACGGGACGCAATTTAGCCGATTTACCTGTTGCTCTTGAAACTCTTTCGATGGTAAACTGCGGCCAAGTCTCGTGACTTAATCTCTGAAAAGCGTTCCTGTGCTCGAAAAAATCTTTTGCAGGAGGTTTGATCGGAGTTGCCGGCGTCGCTGCAAAACAAAAACTAATGTCAGAACGGGATTAAGTAAACGCACTCTACAGCTAAAGATCGGCTAGCTACCGATCACATCGGCCCATCTAGTCAAGATCGGGACGTCCATATCAACTACGGTATTCTCGTCGATCTTCACGAAGAAATAACAGTCCCGCCAATTATCGACCTTTTTCGACGATTTCTCGGTCACTATGTTCAACTTCCTCTTCATACTAACATAGAACGAACCCCGGTTCTGAGTGTTTCCCCCCTGAGGCTTAATATCGGTCATCTCTTCGAAGATATCGGTAGAAAACGGCAGCCCGTGCTCCTGAGCGAGGACCGTTAAACTGACCACATGACGAATGCAGGCATGTGTGGTCTGCGAGATCGGCATTCCCCTCCTCGCACAATATTCCAGAAGAACCCGAGGCAGTGGGAACCATAGATGAGCGTAGAGGAAAAAATGTTCGAACTGACAGATGTAGCCCGGCGGAGCATCCCAAGACCTCTGCTCGGGGCTCGGAACCATGAATTTGACCTCGGGTCCGATCCTGCACACTTTCTTTCAGCAGGGTCAGCGACTTCCATGTAGTATGGGATGGAATTACGCCAAAGGCGTTGTCCAGCTTCGGAGCGTTTTTCTTGGACAGCCTCAAATACTTGAACGAAGCTGGGGTGTATTTATCGAGAATCCCGTTCTCCCACGACTCTTCTGAAGCGCCAAGACTAACAGGCTCGTCCTTTACTTCGGCCTCGTCTTGATCGGCCAAAACATTAGCACTTTTGGCCTCAGAACCGTCATCCCGATCAGACACATTGGTGGCACTCCCGGCGTCATCTGATTCGTCTCTCAGCTCGGGTACCTCGACAGGAACCCGTACCGAAGACGGTCCGGCGTCCCCCTGAGCTACGGTCCCTAGCTGACCTTCCTCGAATCGCAACGCCGCCTGTTTCTGTTGATCCCTGATCATGTCTTCATAATTTATTCCCATTGCCCGAGCAAACATTCGACCGGACTTATCCGATCCCGAGCTAATACTGCCCACCGATTCAATCGGTGAGGAGATCACTTCCTTCCCTTTCGATGATTTGCGACGATTCATCTTTGCTTAGACAATCCCGATCTAAATAAACGATAGTACGGGCTTCTAATGGCTGTACGGTCTTCTATAGACGCCCGATCTATCCTAGGACTACCAGATCTACAGAACAAAATTCTAGAGAGAGAAAGAAGAGAGAAGGGAGAGCGAACCTGATTCAGAGATTTTCGCGAGAAGAAGAAGTGAAGAAATGAAAACCCTCATCTCCTTTTTATATCAAATCAAAAACGGTTTTCGAGAAACCCGTAATCATTGTGACGATTCGTATTTCCCGTGCTTAAATATATTCGAGAAGTCGACGCGTGTCATGTCCCAGAAGACAAAGAGTTTCCGGCTCGAGAAAGGTAGTTTATGAACCCGACTTACAATAAGGCCCGACCTATTATACGCTATTAGCAACCCGATTTATAATGTGATCGGCCTAATATACGCGGTCCCGACCTATCTGATACGGTTTAAATCCCGTCTTTGAACTGTACCAACCAGGAGTTCGTGTAGATTGACGTAGCTTTCAAGCACCCCGTGCTTCGAAATGCCCGGATCTCAATTTATACCGAGCTACCTTTTTCTCATGTTCTCCTAACATGCTACTCAGATCGTCGAACTGGGAGGGGGGGGGGGGACTAATTGTTAGTGATGGGTTTAGCACCCTTTGCTAAAAACCCTTTATAAATTGAGACAAAGCCTATTTGAAGTCCTACCTCTGCCTCCGGGTTTGGGTCGGAGCTCAAATATGGAAATATCAGAAGATATATTCGAATCGCGGAAGGAAAGAAAAGAGAACCCCGAGAAGAAAGGAAATTATCCTAATCCCAAAGGAGAGGGATTATTCTCAAGGCGGTCTACGAAGACTATATAAGAAGAGCCCCCTCCCTCGAAGATCATTCATTCACAACTTCGGACTTGAGACCTAGGGCAAACAATAGCTTATAGCTCGCAGCTTTAAATCTCGGTTCTTTATTCTCAAATTTTAGGCCGGCGTTCTTTTCCGACGACTTAAATCCATTATACTCTTCGAGTTCCGGCTAATCAATAAAACGACTTAATTTTTTCCCCCACAAATCTTTATATTTTCTTTTAGGAAAATATCTAGATCTTACAATATGCTTAGCAGAATATTGGTTATATACAAAATAAAACATTTGTTCCGAAAGGAAAAATATTAATACAGTTTGACTCACTCATCTGTGTGATTTATAAACGTGGGAGTAATATGATGATGTTTTAAGGCCTTAAGGGTACGTATGAAATTTCACTACCAATCTGAAATTTAAGATAGTTCAAATATTTAGTCAAATTTGAGTTTACAAATTTCAGTAACATATACAATAGCTATAAAACTTTTGTTGGTCGTTGTTGTTGATGGATAGATATGAACCGAGCAAGACGGCGGCTAAATCAAAAATTCTCTCGTTAAATCTGGAAATCCATACCATCATGAGAAAATATTAGATAGTTTCTGACAAATAAAAAAAAAAGAAACGGGTAAGAAAATAAAGAGTTATACATAATAAATAGCCATATTGTAGAAGTTTTTACCAAAAAAAAAAACGGATGAGATTTTTTAATAAATTTTGTACGATGTACCATGCTATTTTACATCACATAACATTTTCTTTTAAAACACGTATGATAAAATGCAACTCCAAAAATGCTAGAGCACGATTTTACCAATTTCAGTTCTAATAAACCCGGAAATAAAACAAAGAAGAATACAAAGAGGCAAAAAGAAAAAAAGAATGAATGTATTCTGTTTTTGGCACGAAAATGATAGTCATTGTCATTTAATGCTATCATATCAGACTCTTGAATTTGATAACAAAGAGTCTACTACTATCACTAAGCCTTACCAAAGAGAGACACCAAGTCTCATAGTCAAAGCACTAACAAGATAAAAAAAATCCAGTTTTTACAAGAAGTCAAATAAACGAAAAGGAATACTTTTGAATTTCTGCTTTTGCCCGCTGAAAAATCATGGGTTGTTGCTACTCTTTGTCTTCCAAGGAAGATCGTCAGGCCCACCATAACAACAGAGGAGTAGATCCGCCATTAACAAAGTTCTCTTTCTCCGATCTCAACATTGCCACCGAAAATTTTAGTTCCAAAAACATTGTTTCAGAGAGCAAAGAGGAATCTTCCGATATTGTCTACAAGGGGCATTTGCAAAACCGTGGCTTGATCGCTGTTAAGAAATTTAAGAACATGGCTTGGCCTGATCCAAACCAATTTGTGGTACCATTTTGTTTTTCTGTTTTTGTCTGAAAAGCTTTTTTTTTTTAATTTTGTGACGTTTATTTATTGCTTTTAATTCTGTTTCTTGGTCCAATGTTTTAAGGAGGAGGCACAGAGAGTGGGGAAGTTGAGGCACAAAAGATTCGTTCATTTGATTGGATATTGCTGTGATGGAGATGAAAGGCTTCTTGTTTCAGATTACTTACCAAATGATACTCTTGCTAAGCGTTTGTTTCATCGTATGACTCATCATCTTGATATCTTCTTTTTTACTTTCACATATAACATTTCGTGGATCTGAGAACAGAGAGGCTGCATTATTGGTTCCATGATTGTGCATCAGATGGTTTCAAGAAAGACAACTTTTGTGACACTAGAACAGATGTTTATAATCGATTGAATCAGAACTTGTTAGCATTCTCTGTTTTGAAATTATTTTCATTTGTGATTCATAGGGAAATATCAAACCATGGAATGGGAAATGAGACTGAGAGTAGCTTATTGTGTAGCTGAAGCATTGGATTATTGTAGTAGTGCAGGTTTTGCATCGTACAATAACTTAAGTGCATACACGGTTCTGTTTGATGAGGTATATATACGTTAATGATTTATCTTATCAACATCATTTTGATGCATGTGCCTTTTTCATGATCCAAATATGCTAAACTTTTTGTTTGGGTTGCTTGATGGATATTCAAGGATGGTGATGCCTGTCTTTCTTGTTTTGGCTTGATGAAGGAGAACAATGATGATCAAAGAACAACCAGTAACTATTATCATATTATGATTATTATCTCTTCTGGCTATTATTATTATCAGAATGTGATGCTATGTCCTCCTTGCAGGTAGTGTGAACCCTGAAAGTGTGATGTTCAGATTTGGTACTGTCCTTGTGGATTTGCTAAGTGGAAAGCAAATTCCTCCAAACCATGTAAGTGATTCTGTTCAAGTCCTCTCTTGCTTACTTACTAGTTTAGTATAGACTTTGACATTAATTAGTTATTAATCTTCTGCTTCTAGGCTCTTGAGATGATACATGAAAAGAATGTTACTGAGTTGATTGATCCGAACTTGAAAGGAAACTTCTCTGGAGTCGAAGCTACCATAGTGTTCAAACTCGCCTCTCAATGTTTGCAGTACGAGGATGTAGAGAGTCTCAACACAAAAGACATTGTTACAACACTTGAAACCTTGCAAACTAAAACAAAAGTAAAGGCATTATATTGTGACAGCAGTTGCATTCTTGATTCTGTTTTTTTTCATTCATGCTAAAACCGATCTTGCTTTGCTTGCAGGCCCCATCTTATGGAATGTCTGAAATAGCAAAGCTTAAGGAAGTATCTTGGAGTCAACTTTCGCCACTAGGAGAGGCCTGTTTGAGAATGGACCTCACAGCTATTCATAAGTTCTTGGTGATGGCAGAATATGAAGATGACATGGAAGTCATCGAGGTAAACCAAACTCATCAACTTAAAACATGACTATGCAGCTAAATTTGGCATCAAGGAAGACTTATTATTCTTTGTTTTTTTCATGAGCTAAGTTCTCTTTCGAAGAATGGTTACAAGAGGTAAAAGATCTTCAAGAGGTTCGAAGACGTGGTGATCAAGCCTTCCTAGAGCAAGACTTCGAAAATGCCATTGACTGTTATTCACAGGTTGCTAATAGTATCCATTCTTTTGCATATTAGTAAAAAAAACTCTGTTTTCTAAATCTGTTTCTGGTTTGTGTCCACAGTTTATTGAAGATAGAAGAATAGTGTTTCCAAGTGTTTATGCGAGACGTAGTCTATGCTATTTGTTCTGCAGTCAACCAGAGAGAGCACTTCATGATGGGATGCTTGCACAAGAAGTATTCCCTGATTGGCCAACCGCCTTCTACTTGCAGTCTCTGGCACTATCCAAATTAAATATGATCACTGATTCTGTTGATACTTTGAAAGAAGCAGCGCTTCTTGAAACAAAGAGACATCATCATGAGGAAGGATCTTGATTTTTGCAGATTTTCTCTAGGCTAAAATCTGATATGTATACTCTTTTTTTTTTCTTTTTCGAATGGCGACGTCTTGTGTATATTCTGAGCTAAGAATCAAAACAAAGTTGAAACCTTTTGTGCGGTGAATCTCCATTTTCTCTTGCAGTGACCATTTTAAGTGTATACGTATCATGCATGAACCTAAAACAGAGATAGCGACAATGTTAGCGACCCTCTTGTCTTGGTTCCTTGCAAGAAATGGATATGTCAAAATTTTGTCACACATTTTAATGATCTTGTGTTTTGGTTGTAGTCTCCTGTTTCCGTACTCACACGTCTTGTGGTTGCTGAGCATAAAAGAGAGACAAGATCCGAAGTTTCCGATATGGAGGTTGTACTTGTTGTATACATGTGATTATGAGAGCTATTATTGTCTTCTTTAACCATCCTTACAGCTCATTGTACTCCATACAAAACTGATTTGGTTCAGACACATAAGAGACAGGTCTTAATTGTCACTCGTGCAAGTATGCAATAAGGAACTTAATCTTAATGGAGAGCTGAGCTGTGAGGATGGTTACAGAGAGAGAGATACAACTTTTATATAACGTGAGATGCCTTTTGTCACCTTGTAACAAACATCTTATTAATGGTTGAATATACTAATCACCAATAGATTCCTCTTGTCTCTCTTCCCTTGTGGTGTATATATGTAAGAGAGGAGAGGTAATGAGAAGGCAGAACAAAATTCTTAGCTCTCTCAAGAAAAAATAACAAAACATAAACAAAAATGGCTGTCTCCTTCCATGTTCGCTCTAACAGTTTCCCTTCTAGACTTCACCCACAAGCTGCTCATGTCGATGAGCAGTTGGCCCGATTGAGATCTTCTGAGGAAGCCTCAACTTCTTCTTCAAGCTCTTCTATCTGTCAAAGACTTGACAGCGTTCAAGAGTTACACGAGTCTCTTGACAAGCTAATTTGCCTACCTGTTACTCAACATGCTCTAGCTCAAGATCAGAACAAGAAGTCTGTGGAACAGCTTCTTGATGGATCCCTCAGGATCTTGGATTTGTGCAACGTTTCCAAGGATGCTTTGTCACAGATGAAAGAGGGTCTCTTGGAGATCCAATCGATTCTAAGAAGAAAGCGTGGTGATCTATCTGGAGAGGTGAAGAAATACTTAGCCTCAAGAAAATCTCTCAAAAAGACAATCCACAAAGTACAAAAGTCTCTGAAGGTTACACATGCCGAAGACTACGAGGAAGAATCTTTGGCTGTGTTTGGAGAAGCAGAAGCTGTCACAGTTTCTCTGTTTGATTCCCTCTTTAGCTATATGTCTGGATCAAGGAGTTGTGGCAAATGGTCAGTCGTCTCGAAGCTAATGAACAAGAAGAAAGTTACATGTGAAGCGCAAGCAAACGAATTCACAAGGATTGATTCTGAATTCCAATCGGAGAAGACTTTGAAGATGGATGCTGTTCAGATCCTAGAGTCATGCATTCAAGATCTTGAAGATGGAGTTGAATCTCTCTCAAAGTCTTTGATTAAATATAGAGTCTCAATTCTTAACACCTTAGGCCATTAAAGCCTACACAAATTAACTTTGTAGAAAATTAAATGTACTTGTACAAAGAGAACACATAAACAATGAATACACATTCTTTTCTCATATAACTCTGTTCTTGTAATAGCTCTTCTTGCTTCAAGAATGATCATCAAAGAACCAAACCTTGCTTCGAACGTGATACAGTTTCTTACCCTCAAATATCACTTTTTAATCTTGGGCGGTAAAACAACTTTTACTTGTTCAACATATCATGTGGGCTCTCCGTCTGAAATACAAAGATATTTGAAAAATGAATATATGAGTGTTAAGTAATCCATTGTGGATTTGTTAACATGCCATGATCTACGGATACGGATCTTGCAGCTACTTAATCAAAACCACCATTAATCACAGTTGTCCAAATATGCTTTTCTTTTGATTAGTATAATAAAAAACTCATAATGCAAACGTGTGCGATACAGAAGCTTACCACACGGAGAGACATAAAATATTCACATAAAACAGGAGACAGAAGCTATAAAGAGTGCTCGTGCGGTTAGAGGTTTTGTAAGATAACAGACTAAAAATCTTATTTTATTCCTTGATAAGAGGCAGGCATGATGAGATTTGCACGAGTGTCATTGCCTTCATTAGCAGACAAGCCAGCTTGGGAGGTGCCTCATTGCAATAAAACAGATCTCAATGCATTAAAAAGTAGATGGAGATATAGTTGGAGGGAGACACTGAGCTGATATGGTGGAGATCTTTACCATTATTTGTGTATTATGAGAAAGAGGTGCCTTATGCCATCTTGAAAGGGGAACATTGTGTATTTGGTTTTAATATTTTTACTACAATGAGATTCCTCTTACCTGTCTTCGCTGATGCTATATATAAGTATTGACCGGTGAGGCAATGAAGAAGGCAGAACAAACATCTTTAGCTCTCTCAACTTCTTCTCTTTGATCAATAACAAAAACATGGCCGTCTCTTGCCACGTTCGCTCTAACAGTTTTCCCTCTAGACCTCACCCACAAGCTGCTCATGTCGATGAGCAGTTGACCAGATTGAGATCTTCTGAGGGAGCCTCAACATCTTCCTCAAGCTCTTCTTATATCTGCAAAAGACTTGACAACCTTCAAGAGCTACACGAGTCTCTTGACAAGCTTATTCGCTTGCCCATTACCCAACATGCGCTAGCACAAGACCAGAACAAGAAATATGTGGAGCAGCTTCTTGATGGATCTCTTAGGATCTTGGATTTGTACAACGTTTCCAAGGATGTTTTGTCGCCGATGAAAGAGAGTCTCATGGAGATCCAGTCGATTCTAAGAAGAAAGCGTGGAGATCTATCTGGAGAGGTCAAGAAGTATTTAGGCTTAAGGAAATCCCTCAAGAAGACATTCCAGAAAGTACAAAAGCCTTTGAAGGTTGCGCAAGACGAAGCATCTTTGGCTGTGTTTGGAGAAGCAGAAGCTATTACAATTGCTTTGTTTGATTCTCTCTTCAGCTACATGTCTGGATCAAAGACTTGTGGCAAATGGTCACTTGTTTCTAAGCTAATGAACCACAAGAAAGTTACATGTGAGGCGCAAACAAACGAATTCACAAGGGTTGATTCCGACTTTCAGTCTGAGAAGACCTTGAAGATAGAAGATGTTCAGATCTTAGAGTCATGCATTCAAGATCTTGAAGATGGACTTGAATCTCTCTCTAAATCTTTGATTAAATATAGAGTCTCAATTCTTAACACCTTAGGCCATTAAAGCCTACAAATTTTGTATAGAAAAGAAAAGATAATAGAAACATATTCTGATATTCAACTCTCAATTCTACACATCTCATTTGTTTTATCTTTGACTCTTTAATCATCAACAAACAAGTTCATTCTAGAAACAAGAAATCAAGAAAATGTTGAGTAATTCTTGAACTCCCAAATTTTACAGTTTAAACTTCAGTCCACCTAGTTGGCGCTGTCTCAATTCTTTATTACAACAACAAGATTATTGAGTTTGACACGTTCTCTGCAATTATAACTCTGTTCATGCCTGCATGGTGGGAAACATTTGCATTGATCAAGAAAATATAAAAAGAAATAATTCACATGTCAACATCGATGAACAAGGATCTTGTCTGTATTCTATCATTATATTATTGAAAAAGCTGCTTTATTGTTAGTTGTCACCAAGAACAACTCGAGGCTCGTGGCGTGGAACCCAAACTCCTTATGTCATCTTTATTCGTAATCACATCCAGAAACCTATAAATATTACAAACCAATAAAATTTATAGAAGGTTTTCTATATTGAATACAAAGAATTTACATATGTATTTATACACATAGCTTTGGAGATTCGAGCTCATTAAAATCTTAATAGATGAAATCAATTTTTTTTTATAATTCTATAACAATAGTCATTATCCTAACACATTTCCTCAAGATGGAGCTCCGGAGGTGACTTCAATCTTGACAGCCAAGTCTAGAAACCGAGCTCGTGGCAATGGTTTAGTGAGAGCATCAACTAACTGATTTATTGTGGAGATATGAGACACACGTAGTTGGCCACTTTGATAGTCATATTTGATACGGGAGTGAAAGACTAAATTTGCACACAAATGAGTAGCCCCAATATTGTCGCAATAGATCGTCAGAACAGTCGTGAGAGTGATACCTATCTCAGTGAGGAGAGAGCAAAACCACTTAACTTCAGAGGCAGCGGTATAGGCAGCTCTGCTACAGTACATGAACAAGCCACTCCATTTTGTCTGTGTGACCTATGATATCAGATTGAATCCTAGATAGACAATATAGGCCTTTGTGGAACAGAAATCATCCCTATCACTAGCTCAGTCTGCATCTGAATAAGCAGTGAGAGTGAGAGGAGAGGAAGCATGAACAGTGATGCCATGTCCGGCAAGAAAACAAAGAACACGCTTGACGGCATCCCAATGTAAAGACAGTGCATGAATTGAGGCAATCTGTTCACAGTAAACGCAATGTCTGGACGAGTAAATGACTAAGTATTAGAGACCACCGATCATCATCCGATATTCTTTGGCATCATTATCGGAAAGGTTTATTCCAGCTTTAACAAGTGTTTGCGTTGAGCACATCGATGTGACTACAGGCTTTGCACCTGTCATCTTGGTGCGTGCCAGGAGGTCGGTTGTGTACTTCTGCTGTGTAAGACGAAGACCAGAAAAAGCACAGATAGTGCAGTGATGATATAAGAGATTGTGACGGAGCAGCTTCCTGTTACAATTATGTCATTGACATAGAGAAGAAGATAGACAACAATGAAGCCCATATGAAGATAAACAGAGACGTATCAGCCAACGAGATTATAAAACCCAATACTGCAAAGGAATGTGTGAATTTCATTGTACCAGACACGGAGCGCCTGTTTTAGACCTCATATTGTCTTATTCAGATGAGAAACATAATCAAAATGGTCCTTATTGACAAATCCTGGAGGTTGAGTCATATAAACTTTCTCATTAAGCGTACTTTGAAGAAATGCGTTATTGATGTCTAACTGGCGGAGATCCCAATTGTGTGCAACAGTAACATCAAGCACAATGCAAATTGTAGCATGTTTGATCACCGAACTATAGGTTTTATCAAAATCATGACCAGGTCGCTGATGAAAGCCCTTTGCAACAAGCCTTGATTTATACTTGTCAACAGTACCATGAGGAAATTGCTTAATCCGAAACACCGATCGACAACCAACGACATTTTGGGCAAAGGTCGGATGTACGAGATTCCAGGTGCTTGTGCGAGTCATGTCATTTATCTCTTCCCCAGAGAGGTGAGTCTCGTCATTTTTTTTTGTCCTGGAGAGCTTGAGAGACAGAGGTGGGCTCCACTTCTGCAAGAAGAGAAAATAAGCCTTGTTTCTTTTTTTTTTATTCTTTTTGTTGGGCTTAGTATGAACATATTTTGGATTGGGCTTGATAATATCATTTATGGTCCTTGTAATAATACAAGATGGAACAGAAGCAGCATGAGGGCCCGATGGACGTTGCAAAGTAGGTTGAGTAGCAGTGTCATCATGCTCAGTCCGGGAGAAAAAATAGGAGAGAGGCAGCACCAATGTGTATGTGATCCCAACCGTTGGTGAAGAATCTACGGAGGCAGCAACGGCGCAAGCATTGCCGCTGGTGACGTTATGAGTTGTGTGTGACAGATGGGTAAAAGAGAGGCTGAAGAAGATGAATTAGGGAGTGAATCGAAGGAAGAAGAAGATAAAAGAGAGGCATTTTGTGAGCTCACGAATGAGAAAGGGAAGGGAGATTCAAAGAATTCAACATGTCTGGACCTATATTGGCGCAAATTAGGTACATCGAGGCAGAGGTAGGCTCTTTGAGTAATGGAGTATCTCAGAAACACACATGACGTGGATCGGGGACTCAGCTTGTGTGGAGAATAGGGGCGTCGCCAGGGGTAACAAAGACATATAAAGGTGTGGAGTTTGAGATAGTTTGTCGGTGATTGAAATAGCAATTCAAAAGGTAAGGAGTGACGAGCTGTTGGCGTCGGCATCTTGTTGATTAGATAGAGTGCATCTGCAAACGAGTATGACCAATAGGTGTTGGGTATGCCAGCATGAGTGAGAAAAGAGAGTCCTGTTTCCATAATGTGTCGGTGACGTCTTTGAGCCATACCATTTTCTTCCGGAGTGTGAGGCAGATATGTCATGTGGGAGATGTCGTGTGAGGAGAGGAATTTAGCCATGGCGATGAACTCGCCCCCATTGCCAGAGTAGAGGGTAGTGATTTTCCTTTTGAAACGGTTCTCCACGAGCTGTTTGAAAGGTGTGAAGACAGCAAGAACATCGGATTTTTTTTTTCAGGAGATAAAACTAGGTATATCTCGTGTAGTGGTAAAAAAAGATAACATAGTATTTGTAGTTGTCAACAGAATGAACAGGCAAGGTCCAGACATCAGTATAGAGTACATTAAGAAGGACATTTGATTGTAAAGTAGAGGAAGACATGAATGGTACTTTATGACTTTTATTAGTTGAACAAGCATTGCAATTGAGTGAAGTAGAAGAGATAGAGATAGGCAAAGAAAAACGAGAAACAAGTTGCTTAAGAATAGAAATAGATGAATGTCCCAAACGGGAGTGTCAGTCTGATAGAGAAGACTTGACACATGAATATGTAGAAAACGGAATAGAGAAGCGCAAACCACTTATAAAGTCCACCATTAGCTCTTCCTTGCACCATCGTTGCTCCCGACATTAGATCATTCACCTGAAAGTTATGAGGACAGAATTGAACCATCAAATTGTTAGCTTTGCATAATTTGTTCAAATTGTTAGCTTTGTATAATTTCTTCATAGAAATGAGTTTTTTTCTTGATTGTGGGAACACAAAGAATATTGAATAAGTGAAGTGAGCGAGAAGAGGAGGGAATTGAAGTTGAACCAGTGTGAGTTATCTTCAACCTCGAGTTATCACCGATAAAAACATCATCTCCACCACTATATGGAGAAGAGAAAGAGAGGCTGATCAGATTGGAGGTGATGTGGTGAGATGCACCACTGTCAAAGAGCCAAGGTGCCTGATCAGATGGTGTGGACATGGTGTAGTGGGCCTGTGGTTGCCACTGCTGTGGTGGTTGCGGTGGTTGCCAATGCAGAGGAGCAACGGGTGGCTGTGAGTGAGGCCATGGTGGAGAGGTAGAACTATATGGAGCAGAAGCTTGCTGGGCCTGATACATACCAAGATTAGAGCATCGGCGAGCGTTGTGGCCTTGAGTGCCACAGATTTGGCATTTGCCAAGATAGGGCCAAGGAGCACGGTAGCCACCACGTCGACCTTGATTGAGTCTACAATATGGGCGCTGTTGATGGTGAAACTAAGAAGCATTAACAAATGCATGGAGATCAACGGTGTCAGGAAGAGAGGCGAGGGAGTTTTCGCAATTGAGAAGTTTGTCGTGAAGCTCATCAACCGAAATTGGAATGTCACGGCCATTGACCATCACAAGGATGGCACAATAGTCATCTCCAAGGCCTTCAATGATGATATCAAGGAAATCTTTATGATCAACTGACATCTTAAGGAGAGCCAATTGGTTTGCTTTGGTAAGAATACCTCGCATATAATCAGTGATGGATTGAGTTCCCTTATTGCTTTGTTTGAGTTGTTGCTTGATTTGTTTGATATAGCCATAAGATGATGTACCATATGTTCGTTCGAAGATTGTCCAGACGTCACGAGAAGTGACATCTCTAATGACAATATGTTGAATTGGAATAGAAAGAGAGCCAATGAGAGCACTGCAGAGTAAGCGATCTTAACGCTTCCAAGGAGCATGAGCTGGGTTGGGATGAATGAGACCATTGCTATTTAGTGTTTCTGGAGGCATGCCATCAACATCATCAATGAAAGAGTAAAGTTCATGAGCTTCAAGAAGCGCACGAACTTGAAGACACCAAGTGAGATAGTTGGAGGCTGAGAGTTAGGTAATGGCGGCTATGTTGATCCCAATGTGATACAATATCAAAAATAAGTAAATCAAGGGTCTTTAATATGTGAATTATTATTAAAATTTGTTCTTCATAGTTTCATAAAGTCAAAAGATTCTCATTCAAGTCCAAAGCAAGATTGGTGGCAAGAAGACCATTATTTGATTTATCTTTTTTTGTTTTGTTTTGTTTAAATGTATTTTACTGTAAATATTATTTGTAAGATTTATAATAGCTCATCTATGCGCACTTGTAAAATATATATATATATTTTTGGAAATGAA